AGTTAGGTCTAGAATTATGTCTGCCAACTTTCGAGAAAATCGGTCCAGATTTAGATATAGCTCCCATATATAGTTTCGTCCGATTTCATGTAAATGGTGCACCAAAGCCCCTATATATCCTTCGATTTGCACGAAATTTGGCATAACATACTTAATTGAGCCTAGAATGATGTCTGCCTAGTTTCATGAAAATCGGTCCTGATTTCATGTAAATGGTGCCCCAAAGTCCCTATATATCTTTCGATTCGCACGAAATTTGGTACAGCCTAATCATTTAGGTCTAGAATGATGTGTGCCTAGTTTCGAGAAAATCGGTCCAGATTTAGATATAGCTTCCATATATAGTTTCGTCCGATTTCATATAAATGGTGCCCCAAAGCCCCTATATATCTTTCGATTTGCACGAAATTTGGCATAACGTACTGAATTAAGCATAGAGTGATGTCTGCCAAGTTTCGAGAAAATCGGTCCAGATTTAGATATATCTCCCATATATAGTTTCGTCCGATTTCATGTAAATGGTGCACCAAAGTACCTATATATCCCTCGATTTGCACGAAATTTGGCATAACGTACTTAATTGAGCCTAGAATGATGCCTGCCAAGTTTCATGAAAATCGGTCCTGATTTAGATATATCCCCCATATATAGTTTCGTCCGATTTCATGTAAATGGTGCCCAAAGTCCTTATATATATTTCGATTTGCACGATATTTGGTACAGCCTAATCATTTATGTGTAGAATGATGTCTGCCAAGTTTCGTGAAAATCGTTGCAGATTTAGACAGATATAGCCCTTTTTATTATAGATTGATTTTAAGTAATTGACGCACCATATATATTTTCGCCCGATTTCAAGTAAATTGGGCATCAAACTCCTCATGTTAGTCAGATTGACATCAAAGTTTGCACATCGTACAAAATTAAGCATAAAACTATATAGTTGCGTTTTCTAGAAGTACAGACATAGCCCAACGGATGACCTATTTATATTTGTTTGAAGTCGATTTACATACTTTATGGATAGATCTACGTAGATTCACATTTAGATAAATATCACATATTTTATTTCATCCAATTTCATGCTAATAGTCCTGTTTAATATACCCATAGTGGTGAAGGGTATCATATAGTCGGCCCCGTCCGACTTTACTACTTTCTTTACTGGTTTTTATTTGAGGAAATCCGTACTAAAAGTATAAAGTTGTAAAATACATGTAGAGGGTCTAAAATATATAGACTGATATATTCTATCTATTCAGGATCTTCTATCTCTATAAGTGTTATAAAGGTTTTTGTACCTTTTATGACACTGTGCTAAGGGTATTATGTCTTTGTGTATATGTTGGGAGCAGGCAAAAGGAAACGAGATAGACACGTGGTTCCTTTTGAGAATATGTATAGAATCACTTTCAATATCGATTTATGCATGTCCGTTCGTTTGTCTATATGTTTATCTAAAATTGTAAGCAAAGTATGGCTTATTGGCAACGGAATGACATATGTATGTCTGAATTGTAAAAGAGCCAGTAACTACAACTTTCACATTGTGTACGAATATATAAAGTCAATATAAACGAGTGCAAAATTACCAATTTACGATTCAAGGGCATATAAACGGAATACATATATTTAATATTCAAGTGTTATTCTTATATATAAAGTGGTTTTATGCGGAACGTACTGCATACAAATCTAATTGTAGTATGTGTACACCGAATATTCGAATACAACCAACAAAGTTTTGTTTTAAATTTCTACAAACTGTTTGAAAACATTTTGTGTATGTTAAGAGGGTTTGAACTACCTGTTAGAGTTGGAACAACTTCACTCATTGGCGACATTGCTTACAGATAAAGGGAGATTGTTGTTTATACCCTTCACCACACTGTGGTACAGGGTATTATGCCTTTGTGCATATGTTTGTAACAGGCAAAAGCAAACGAGATAGACACATGGTCCCTTTTGAGAATATGCATAGAATCAATAGCTCTCATATATATTTTCGTGCGATTTTAGGTAAATAGTGCACAAAAGTACTTTTATATCTTTCGATCTGCACCGCGTTCTGAATCGAGTGTACAATGATGAGTGGTGAGTTTTGGGAAAATCGGTTCAGATTTCGATATAGCTCCCATATAAATTTTCGTCCGATTTTTCGTCCGATGTAAATGGTGCCCAAATGTCACTATATATCCTTTGATTTGCACGAAATTTGGCATAGCGTACTGAATTGAGTCTAGAATGATGCGTGTTAAGTTTCGGAAGAATCGGTTCAGGTTTCGATATAGCTCCCACATATACATATATATTCGTCCGATTTCACATAAATGGTGCACCAACATTTTTATGTTAATGTATCAAATTGAATAACGTTATTGCGTTTTGTTGAAATAGATGTAGATGCTGCTATAGTTTCCATATGTATTTCGAACGGGTGTCTGACTGAAATTAAATTTTTTACAGTGCGGCCACCGAATAGCATGTATCAATTTTGCTATAAAACGTTTTCATAAATTTGTCCCATGGTACGCAGTCGACTTCAAATCTACCCGAATGAATTTAAATTTACCATCGCACAGTGGGTTAGAGTACCATGTTTTCTTGGATCAAATCAGGGAAGCTATGTTAGAATAATTTTTCTTTATTTTTCAGTTAATACCATTAAAATAAGTTAAAAAAATGTTTTCTAAGTATATTTGAGTATAATTTTATTAAGTAGTGCCAAATATCAGTGTAGGTATATAGTGCAAGGAGTACAATATGATAACTTAAACATTGAATTTTATACATCTTAAAGTTATTCATCCACATCGTCATCATCCGCAGCCGGGGATGGTCCGTATGACGAATTTTCAGGTTTTCGACTGTCAAAAAGGTGTAAACGTCGAAAACGACATATACCTGTATAAAATGCAGTAAACGTCATTTATTTCAATATTATCACCATATACAGTCATTTTCAAGAACATATATTATTTTTACTGTATATCTGGCTATTCTTTACTAGAACTGATAAAAAATTCCGAATAAAAAATTTTGATATTCGATATGAATTTGAGTAAAGCATACGTTATTTCCAACTCGATAAATGTTAATAGCCATTTTATAAAAAACATAATGGTTTTGAGTGGGTGTATGTCATTTACGTCACTGTTTCTCACAGGCCACCTCTGTCCGCAGCATCACCAACTTCTGATAATTGCTCAATATGTAAAAGGGCATTTGACACAATTTCGGGTCCGTGAATAAAAAACTTGTGCAAAGTGGTAGGCATATTATACAAAGGATACGTTTCAACAAAAAGTCGTCCTGTATTGTGTGCATATATTTGAAATTTTTCATTATTAATCTCATGGCCACTGGATACAGCTATAACCGACACGTGCATTTTTATTAAATTAACATATATTTTTGTTATTTCGGCAGATTTTTCTAGCGTTTTGGTGCGTTTTTTTGATTTCTTTAGCTAAAAATGTCATCTTGTCATTCATTGTTTGAGCACTCGAATTCATCATAAGCTTCGACGATTATAAAAAACAACGTTCGAACTTGTACCTATAAAAAATGCTAATAAAGAACGCTTTTACCCGACTACTTGAAACTGCACAACACAATCACAATTTGTTAAAACAATGAATATTATTAAAATAAACAAAAACAAAATATTATTGTAACAAAGAATATCATTAAAAGAAACAAAAATAACAACAATAAAATAATAAGAAAAAATAACATGAAAAACAAGAAAACACAACACTCAACAACAGCACCAGCCACGAGATCAATGTGACTTTTAGCTAATTTGACTGCTACAACACTTGTATTAAACAACGCATAGCTTCTAAAAGGCACAAAAGGGCAGCGTAAAATTTTGCAATATAACACAGATTTATGTCCTCTTTAATATAAACCAAAAATTATGACACGAATGTGGACGAATAATAACTATTTATCCATTTAAAATATAAAAATATTAATTTTTTTGGCATTTTCAATATAAATAACTAAATCTTAATCACTTCCAAACACAATTTCATACTCAAATGTTAACGAAGTATTTGCAAAATAACCTAAACTTCATGGTTCCGTTGAAAAATGTTTAACTTTTACAATACTTTTTAAAATAAATAAAATTTTCTACGGGAACGTTTTCACTTTTTTCAGCCTTTTTTGGCACAAAAATTTGTATGAAGTTTGACTTTGAAGTTTCACTACAAAAACACCAGTCCACTTTTGACATTAATTTCAACGACAAATGATGTAGAATTTTATATACTTTAACCGTGTGCAAAAAATTTTAACGATACTTAAAATTTAATTTTTTAATTAATCCAAGGAAACAGGGTATTCTAACCCACTGTGCATCGGTTGCAGAAAGACATGCTTATGTTCCTTCGAGAGAACATTGGCATGCAATTATAAAGATACGTGTGTACAATATACCCAAAGTGGTGAAGGGTATCATATAGTTGGCTCAGCCCGATTTACTGGTTTTAGTTTGCGAAACTTTTCCCATTACAACAGTTAAAATAACAGTAAAATTTAAAAATAAAAAATTTCAAAACTAACGGAACAATAAAACATTCTCATAGAACAAAATTATTACAAGAAAGTTCGAAATATACCTCTAAAAAGTGGTAATTGGATTTCAGTAGCAAATCAAATTTTTCATGAAAAATATTTCTACATGGTATTTAATTGGAAGTGTAAATTGTAGCATATCGTTATGACAACACAACATAAAAGCGAGCGAGTGTCTATGCACACTCAGTGTTTTTTTGTTTTGTTTACAATATGACCTGTCGTTTCGTAACAAGTGGGGAATATGTCAACAAAATTGAGTAATGGCAAAAATTTTAAAACAAAAATTCAATTAACAAAGTGATAGTATGTTTCTGTAATATTCAATTTTAAAAACATTTAAAATTATTCTCTTTAATTCACCATGAAATAATTCCCAATAAAGAAGTATATATGTATTTATTAACTATTTGTAGAATGTTGGCCGAGTTCTTAGGCGTACCCGATTAGCGGAGAATTTAGATTTGACACAAGTCACTGTGCCCATCGGTGTCCTACTGGTTATATTTGAATCTCGCCCAGACTCCTTGCCACAGGTGGCCGCATTGGCAATCGCTTCTGCTAATGGCTTGTTGTTGAAAGGCGGCAAGGAAGCCTCGTACAGTAACAAAGCCCTAATGGAATTGGTTAAGGAAGCTTTAGCCACTGTCGGTGCTGAAAAGGCTGTTTCATTGGTACGTATTTCATTGTATTCATCCGTCATTTGATTGACTGATGTTCAACGATTATTGACAGGTATCGACACGTGAGGAAATCAGCGATTTGTTGTCAATGGATGATCACATCGATTTGATAATTCCACGCGGTTCATCGGATTTAGTGCGCAGCATCCAACAGCAATCACTTCACATTCCAGTTCTGGGACATGCCGAGGGTGTTTGTCACGTTTTCATAGATAAAGACGCTGATGTTAAAAAGGCATTGAAAATTGTTCGTGATGCCAAATGTGACTACCCAGCTGGTGAGTAGTGGTATATGTTGGAATTCAACAGGTTGTTTAAAAAAAGTGCTTTAATTATATACTTTGGTTTTTGGTGGTTAGTCTGATCTTTATATATTGGCTATGAATCCACATAAACCACACATCAAACCTGATAATTTTTGTTAGTGTTGGAAGCAGAATTTTTGGGTGATAAATTAATTTAGCGGCAAAAATTTTGTTTATTCTATAAATATATTCTAAATAATCGCAATATTTTACCGACAAAATTAACATTTCATTGTTATGTTGTTTAGGTATATGGACATGTTGTACTATCCATATCCTCCTCTATTTGCTTGTGTTCTTTTAAACCATTTTTTCTAAAACGGAGATAAATATTGATATTTTTGGTAGTGAGATTTGACAGCCAATTAGAATACAAAATACCAAACTACAGTCAAAATTCTCAAAATACCGACATGGACATATATAAATAATTATTAGTGCGAATATGTGGTGATACCGTTTTTTATACCTAATAAGAAAATCTCTGTTACGTTTTGATTTATTACACTCTAAAATTTCACGCATCAATTTTTTGCTTCTTTAATCTGTAAATGAGCTGTTGAAACTTCATGTCATGTGTCTAATTAAAAATGTAATGAAGTTTTATAGTTTTGAGGATGTGCACTCGGCACATCGTTTTTATACAATGGGGGAAGACGAATAAAATGCCAACTCCATTCGGAATAAATCGTATAAAAATAAATAATAATAAACCAGTAAGGAAAGTTCGAAAGTCGGACGGGGCCGACTATATGATACCCTTCACCACTTTGGATACATACAAGAGATGCTAATATATACAATATCCTGCAGATAGAACAGACATATAATCTTTAGAGGACCATTAAAATGGAATGGGGCGGAACTAATGTGTAATGAACATAGATATTTGAACCAATTAAAAAACCCATACCAGACGCAGGCCCTTCGGGGCACCATTTACCAAAAATCTGAGGAAATTAAATATGAGAGCTATATCTAACTCAGAACCAATTTCAACAGAACTTCATAAATATCAAACAGGACCTAATTTAGTAGGCTGTGCAAAATTTTGTCTCTATCGGAAAAATATTGGAATTTTGGTGCACCATTTACATAAAATCGGACAAAACTATATTTGGGGGATATATCTAAATCTGAAAAGATTTCAATGAAACTTCACAAATATCAATATGGACTTAATTCAGTATGATGTGCAAAATCTTGACTTAATCGTCAAGACTCAGTATGGGAGTTTGTTGCACCATTTACATACCAATACCAATTTCAAAAAAACTTTGCACACATCAAGCAGGAGCTATTCTAGTACGCTGTGAAAAAACTTATCTCAATCGGATAAATATTGCGAGTTTGGTGGACAATTCACCTAAAATCGGACGAAACTATAAATGAACCGATTTTCTTCAATCTCAATAGGGTTCGTCCTTAAGCCAAATAAGTGGCCTGTGCCAAATTTCATCCAAATCGGATCGGACAGACGGACACGATTCCTTTTGCTTGTTATAAACATATGCACAAAGACATAATACCCTGTACCACAGAGTGGCGATAGGTATAAAAATGATTCTCATGAATATTATTTTCTTGGAAATTTAAAATCGAGAGATATATAGGGACATTGGTTGAGATTTAGATATAGCTCCCATATATATTTTCGTCCGATTTAATGTAAATGATCCACCGAAGTCCCTATATATCTTTCGATTTGCACGAAATTTGGCACAGCGTATTGAATTAGGTCTAGAATGAAAATGGGTTCAGATTTAGATATAGCTCCCATATATATGCGTCCGATTTAATGTATTTGGTGCACCAAAGTCCCTATATATCTTTCGATTTGCACAAAATTTGGCACAACGTAATGAATTAGGTCTAGAATGATGTGTGTTAAGTTTCCTGAAATCGGTTAAGATTTACATATAGCTTCTATATCTGACCAAATGAAAAATTCAGTATCGGTTGCAGAATGACATGTTTATTGATCCAATTTCATTTTACTGGTCTTTAAAAATGCGACGTCTGTTAGGATTCCATCAGGATTCCATCAGTTGAATATACTTGTTAAATATATACATATTTAAACTGAAATTGGTATTACTTTTTCAGAGTGTATAAAATAACCGACCTGACCTAATTTGTTTTACATTTTTCATGTAAACGTAAATAGTCGTCGTTTGCATATTACAGCTTTTCACATAGACACAAATGTTATAGTGTGTGTAACCGTCACTTTTTGAAGATATTCGTGGAATTTTATTATAGCATGTATATATAAGTATACTTCTGGCGAAGTTTTAAGTACTTTGTTGGAACAGAAACTTTAATAAATTTTTTGTTATGGACTTGTTAAGGTTATAAAATCGTATCATGATATTTAATTATTATTATGTACATCAACATTATTTTTAAATACAGTATCAAGTATATGCCTCATTTCGACGCTGTATTTATTGGGTCATATATGCTGCAGGTCATTTTGAATCCTTATTAGCTATGTCTATTCCATGTTTATTACGTTAATTAGAGAAGTTTATTGCCATCGCTGCAACATCGTTTGTTACATTCAAAGATACATAATCAAACATTTTGTGCATTTTTATTTAACCATCTTTTAATGCAATTTCATCGATTTGCTCTTATTTCAGCCTGCAACGCCATGGAGACTCTGCTCATCCACGAAGATTTAATGAGTGGTGACATTTTCAATAATGTTTGCAATATGCTGAAACGTGAAGGGGTTAAAATCTATTCGGGACCTAAACTGAATCAACAACTCACATTCGGTCCACCCGCTGCAAAGAGCTTAAAGCATGAATATGGTTCACTGGAGTGCTGCATTGAAATTGTCAAGGACTTGGATGAGGCCATTGATCACATTCACACATTCGGCAGTGGTCATACAGATGTTATTGTGACTGAAAATGGTAAGATAAAAAAGCGTGAACATTTTTATGTCAATTTTGAATATTAGTTTACTCATAATGAAAATTTGGTGTGCATATTTATCTCACTCCTTTCCTTGTATAGATTCAGCTGCGCAGCATTTCCTCAACAGCGTTGATAGTGCCTGCGTATTCCACAATGCCAGCTCACGTTTTGCTGATGGTTTCCGCTTTGGACTCGGTGCTGAAGTTGGTATCTCCACAGCACGCATCCATGCTCGTGGACCAGTGGGTGTGGAAGGACTACTTACTAGTAAATGGATATTACGTGGAAATGATCACACAGCAGCTGATTTTGCAGAAGGCGGAAACGGTGTTTGGTTGCACGAATCGATACCTGTTTAAATCATAGCTTATATGCGTTGTTATTCAATCTTAATATCAAATTTTCTTACTTTTGTAATTATTACAATTTTTCTAACAATTTGATAGTTATTTTATTATGAAAAATATACATAAATTTTTATTACATCGTTTGCATTTGGAACTCTTAAAGGGTAAAATGGTCCTGGTGATAGATGGTATTACGGAAGTCGAAAATGTCTTTTTTAATTGTTCTTGCATTACAAAACAACAAACTTATTGATAAATAGTTACAAATAGTATGGCCCAAAATCGGGGCAATGGTTTTGGGGGTGGTTCTAGCACCGGATACAGTTGATTTTGAGCAGACAATTTATTTTATGTGATTAGCAAGTCTGTTTGATTTAGATGATATGCATATAACCTTAATCGGTTGATAAAAACTAGTGCAAAAATTGGGTTTATTATTTGGTTTAAAAATTTGACGATCCCAGCTGTCTCGTGAAAAACACAAAAAAATTTAAATGAAATTGGACGATCTTAACTATGAGATATTATTTGCATGTGAACCGACTAAAATCAATATATACACATGTCATTATGCAGCATAATTAATATATAGGAGTTATACATGTTACAAACATGTGCACAAAGTCATAATACCCTGTACCACAGTGTGGCGAAGGGTAATCAAATTTACAATGGCACTGCGAAAACATGTTCACTCATCTACATTCGGTCGACAACTGAAAAAGACACCCAAAGTTGAGAACGATGCTAGAAAACAAGTTTGCCATGTAAAAACCAGTGAGTGGAGCAGTATAGTCGTACAGGGTCGACCATATGATACCCTACACAACTACCACGAAAATCTAACTTTCTGCGGTTCTATATTATGGACTGCCAATATTTCGCGACATTTCCACCCTCTTGACCGAATATATGTCAACAGTTCCACTTTATAACCCTGGCATATCTTCCAAATCTTGTTTTTCCGAGGTGGATATTTACGCCATAAAATAAAAATTTGGTCACTTTAAGTTTTGGTATATTGAACTATCATTATCTAAACAGCCGTTCTAAGTATGGCCTCTAGAGCGACTAGAAAATCTGACAAAACAACGTTTTCGGTTCATTACACCACCTAAATATCATTTCAACATCACCGAAAATTATAGACGTTCTCCTTGACCATAACAGGGACTTCATGTAAAATCTCAAATAACTCCCACATCCGAGTACAAACAACAATATAATTGGTATCAATTTAAAGGTCAATCACTCCTCTTAGATATTAGTATTGATTTATTTATTTATGAAAATTTGGTGTGCATATTTATCTCACTCCTTTCCTTGTATAGATTCATCTGCGCAGCATTTCCTCAACAGCGTTGATAGTGCCTGCGTATTCCACAATGCCAGCTCACGTTTTGCTGATGGTTTCTGGGTCCATTTGACCCGCTAAATGATGACCGATCTTTATCAAAACAGACATGCTTATTCTTTGGCCCGATCCCCTTCTCCATGTAATATTTCGCGATGTTTAGGTATTTGGTCAATTTCATCCCCTAAATATTGACAGATATTTACCAAAAACAATAGGGGCAGACGGGCGGATACACATGTCGAGATGTTAAACCCACATTTTATGAGCGCTGTTCAAAGGTACTCCCCTATCCCCCATTTAGTTCACGTTTCAAGAAAGAAGTTGAGATAGAAGGAGGATATGTTTTACAAAAATATTCTTCATACGTTTTCATTGCAGATTTGTCATGTCAAAAATAAAAAACTTTACCTATTGCGAATTAGCTATTCTGAAATTTTAATATACTCGCCTACTGACTAGAAATGGTTGTGGGGGAATTGCGTACCTTTTGCACCATCCTGTGCCGTACTGACATATAACGATCTATAACAGCTAACAATTTTACTGGTATTATATTTATTCAAAATGGACATCAAATATCCAACTAGATCTTTTTATTTTCTGTGAGCATTAACAAAACACGGGTTTTAAATAGTTTGTAAAAACTTTGTATGCATAATTTATCATTAGTTCATTAGTTAATGACTTTTGCGTTTTATAGTACGTTTACATTTAATCGGTGCACAGGTATTGCAATTGTAGATAATTTTATTTACCTATTAAAATTATGAAAGTATTTAAGCTTTTTTTTACAATAAACTTTTTATACTTTGGGGAAAATATTACGACGAATTATTCCTGAGGTAGATCTATAATTTCATAATTAGACAAATATTGATTTTAGACCCCATGTTTGAACCAAATCCTCACCCTCACAAGTTCAAAATTTTCAACATAAATAAATCCAATTTCAGGCGAATAGAATGATCGATTTGAATCAAATATTGCACTACCTATTATATTTACCAAGCTTAGATAAAGTCCGAAGATGGGAACGGACTATACGATTTACCTTTACAAAACGTAGATGAAGTCCGAAGATCGGAACCATTGGTCCACTGCTTCTGGTACCTCCCTCCATAGTTGGGACATATTGGGGGAAAGCAATGTCCGATTTGAACGAAACTTTGCACAATCTATTATCTTTACAAAGCCTAGATCAAGTTCTCCCTCAGAAAGGGTCAGTGCTTTATAAACTTGTAAATTTTATTAAATTGAAACAAATTAAATAACCGATGTGTTCAACATTAAATCTTTGATTAAAACATACCTTATTTTGACCCATTCTCTGGGTCAAAATTTTTGTTGATATAATTCGAATCTACACTAAATAATAAATGTCACTACAAAATTTCAAGTGAAAATCTCAAGAACTCTTGAAGATATAGGCGATTTATTGTGTCAGCATTAGGTGACGAGTGAAGGGCTTCTCAAACTTGAAACGCGTTTTTCTCTAAACATTTTTTTGTGAATGGCGGGCACGATAACTCAAAAACTAATAACCCAATTGATTTCAAATTTTAACACGTTTCTCTGTGAGTGTATAGCTCTCGTATGAACTAGGATAAAGCCAATCGGTGAAGATCTTCCTGATTTTTTAACTTTGTTTTTGGTAAAAAATCGGCGATTTTCAAAAAATATTTTTTCAAAGGTCCGCCATTTTGTTAATTTTAGAGCGAAGTCAATAATCCTAGTTCATACGAGAGCCAGACATGTACTCTTTCTAACACCGTTGGAATTTTCGGATTCCGATGTTCCAGTGAGGAGTTATCATGCCCGCCATCAAAAATAAGGACTTTTCTTTAATTACAAAAAACAACAACAAAACAATAACAAAAATTTTTTGTAAATTATTTTTCTTCTCTTTTAAATCTTCAATTATATATGTCCAAAGTTACAAACCTTAACAAGCATTTGTATTCATTTACCAGCCCATTGAAAATCTTGAAAAATTAAAATCGAGAATGGGTGGGGTTCCCTTAAAGCGAATAATAAAACCTGCGTGTAACTCAAGAGACCTCCGCAAACGATGGGTAGAGAATATATATATATATATCTATATATCTATATATATATATAAAAATTACATGTATGTTCATGATCGCTAAACTCAAAAACTACTGCACCGATTGGGACCAAATTGTATGTACATGCTCTATGGGGCGTGAGGAGTGTTTCTGTGTAGTTTAAAGTTCATCCTACAGATGGCGCAACATTTAGTTTTTTGTGGTTTTTCACCATAATTCAAGAACTACTGCACCGATTTTGACCAAACATTACGTATATGGTCTATGGGGCGAGTGTAGTGTTTTTGTGTTCAATTTTAAGTTCGTCCGACAGATGGCGCGATATATAGCTCCTTTATCCGATTAAAGATTGGGTGCTTAATCGGCGTGTGCCGACGTTAAGTATTCCGAAACCGACTCATACATAACCTGTTTTCGTGAAGACCCGTGGGAGTCAAACGAAAAAAGAATAACTTATCAAATTGAAGTAAAATTAATTTAAACTGCAAAATTGTATAGTAACTCATCAATTGAGAACGGCGGCACCGATTTGACTCAAAATTCCTTTCAGTTGTCTATAATTGACGTGGGAAGGCTTGCATGGAATAACATTTTGAGTAAAATCCACGAAAATCTTGCAAAACATATCTTTAAGGAACGGCTAGACCGATTTGCCTACCATTATGTGGGACATATACCATAAAGTGATACTATACCGACAATTTACAGATAAGTTCCTTATCCAACATGAAATACCGAATTAAAGGCAATGTATACTGTGCCAAAATATGGACCAAATATAGGGAAGCTTAAAAACGCATAATAATGGTAAGCCAATTGTTTACATTATAAAACCAACACATGGCATATATCGCACACGATATCTGAATCATTGGCTGAAACTTAAACGTATTCTAAATAGGAAATAAATCCAGCTTTATTTGTGACAATTTTCAATGAATATACATAGGATATACCAAAATGTCCATTACAAATACCTCAAGAATTTAGCTAGCTATGGAAAGTATGTATATCGCTAATTTGCTGCAAGACAGCCTTAATTAAAAAAAACGATTTTGCAGAAGATGCGTTTTATGTTTTCAATTTACTCACACCTTATATGGGACACAGGAACTTATAAAGCTTCTCAATTAGAGTGATTTTTTTACATCATTAACTCGAAAACCACGTTTTCGAGTTATGTCTCTCTTGCAGCAAATGAGCGATATATATAAATTTGAATTCTACATGGAGACAATTGCTCATTAGATGCTCTATGTGCTTTTATGGTTCCTCAAATATATTTTTCATGATGTGAACAATTTTCCATTGGAAACGACAGTACCAATTTGACTCACATTTTCCTTCGATTGTTTTTAATTTCAGTGGAAAGAGTTTTACCAAAGGAAATTTTGAGAAAAGCATTAAAAGTCGGAGATTGGAGTAATTGAACACAACACACCTTTTATAGGACTTATGAATCGTATGTGATCAAAACAGGAAAATATTATGCATATTTTTTGATTGTGGAAATTTGATGTATATATTTTGGTAAATAGCTTCTGAAATATATTTTCCATGAATTTAATTTTTACCAACTATATTACCCATATTGATGC